GAGGGTGTAAGGGAATACACCCACCTGCAGATATACGTTTGGTTGTGGATATTTCTACATACGTAGTTGTAGGTGCTGCATGTATATTAATACAGACAACAAAGCACACAAGGGGCACAGTCATGGAAACCTCTTAGACATAACCAAGCACCTTGTGGGACGAAGTTCCTAGGCTCAAAGGTGAAGGACCATAGACTCAGGGGACATCTACATCAGCTGGCACAACATAGTTCCTAAAGACAATGTTCTACATCCTACTTTAGTGAGTAGCATCTGGGGTCTTAAAAGCTTGCAAGTGGCCATCTTGTTTGTTGTTAGGTGCTATCGAGTTGGTTCCAACTCATAGCAACCCTGTGCGCAACAGAATGAAACACTGCCCGGTCCTGTGCCGTCCTTACAACCCTTGCTGTGTTTGAGCCCATTGTTGCAGCCACTGTGTCAACCCATCTCATCGAGGGTCTTCTTCTTTTTCAGTGACCCTCCACCTTACCAAGCATGATGTCCTTCTCCAGGGACTGGTCCCTCCTGATAACATGTCCTAAGTACGTGAGAGGAAGTCTCACCATTCTCACGTCCAAGGAGCCCTCTAAGAGCAGCCATCTAAGATACAACTATTGGTTTCTTCCCATCCAGAGCAAAGGAGAGTGAAGAAAACTAAAGACTCAAGGGAGCAGTTAGTCCAAAGTACTAACGGACCATATGAATCACAGCCTACATGACTCCAACACCAGAAGAACTAGCTAGTGCCCAGCTACCACTACCAACTGCTCTGACTGGGATCACAACAGAGGGTCCTGAACAGAGCAGGAGAAAAATATAGAACAAAAAATCATATTCACAAAAGAGACCAGACATACTGGTCTGACAGAGACTAGAGGAACCCCTCAGACTGTGGCCCTAAGACATCCTTCTAACCTGGAACTGGAGCCATTCCCAGATGCCACCTTTCAGCCAAATAGACAAGCCTATAAAATAAACAATAACACCCAAGAGGAACGTGTTCCTTAGAACAATCAGTTATATGAGATTAAAAGGACATATGCCCAAAAGCAAAACTGAGAAAGCAGGAAGGGGTAGAAAATCCAGACGAAATGGGGAACCCAGGGCGGAAATGAGGAGAGTGGTGACACATTGAGGGAAATGCAACCAATGTCATGGAACATTTTATGTATACACTATCAAATGGGAAACTGATTTGCTCTATAAACTTTTACATAAAGCTAAATAAAAAAATTTTTAAAAAAATCATCTAAATGAGACCAAAACGTCAACAGTTACTCTAAAGCAAAGATGAGAAGATAAGGGGTCAGGGAAATTAGAAGTACTGGAAATGGAAAAACTAGAACGTAATTAAAGAGAATGTTGACACATTGTGAAAAATTGTAACTAATATCACTGAACAATTTGTATAGAAATTGTCAAATGGGAACCTAATTTGCTGTGTAAACTCACTGAAAACAGGATAAAAAAAATTTTTTTTAAGTATACAATACAAAAGGAGATGGTGATGACTCATGGGTAAAGAGGTGAGTTTCTATTACATGAAGTAAGGCAGAAAAATAAGACTGCCCTGCAGGTAGTGGATATAGTTAAAAATTCCTTGTGAGTAATGAGAAGGGAGGCTTTTGGGTAATGGCAGAATTCTGTTTCTTGATCTGGGAGCTGGTTACAGAGGCATGTTCAGCATATGAAAATTCATTAAGCTTTTCAATATTTATGATATACTTCAATAAAAAGTTAAAAAAATTACATGGACCTGTTTTAAAATGGAATTCTTTGTTAGTTTCCTATTGCTGCTGTAACAAGTTACCACAAGCTTAGTGGCTTAAAACAACACAAATTTATTATTTTATAGTTCTGTGTCAGTTGGAAGTCTAACATAGGTTTTGATGGACACAAGTCGAGGTGCTGGCAGGGCTGCATTCTCTTCTGGAGGCTATAGCAGAGAACCCATTTCCTTGCCTTTTCCA